TCATTTTTAATTAAAAAAAAAAACTCAGATTTTTTTCATTATGAATTCATTTTTAGATTATAAACAGAAAAGTCACCACCAGTTATTAAATAATACACATTTACTCATAATTTACCATTGAGTCGCGTGAATTGGAGAATAGACAGACATCAATCAAACACGACTGGGCTTTCCCTCCACTGTTGGCAAGCCAAAAGATGACAAGTGGGCCGTTTTGAGGTGACTTGCGGGCCCCCAACAGAACCCAGAAATGAAAACTTTTGCGGCCCACGTCCTCCACTTACACTAAATCTGATTAAGACACACACTCACCTAAGTCAGAAAAAGGGAGGTGAAAATGGAAATTCCCTCACTGAGGAGTATATGACATACATGCAAGCTTTCACAAGTATCTTCTTGCAACTTGTAAAGATAAAGAACAATCATCAATGGATACTCATATCCTATCCCCAAAAGATTACTGAGTCGTATTTCATTTGTGCAACGTCGTAAAATATCACCTGCCTTTTTTTGTGATAAACCCACATATGATCATCCAAGATTGAGCTAATATTGCCTCACCAACGCTAAGTGTACAAGAATCTTCAATCATAGGCAGCATAGAGCAAACTTTCTTCTTTTCCCTCAAACACGATTGGCTTCATTATAATCGTGAGGACACGAGGAGGCAAAGGAAACAGGAAAAAACCGAATTTGGAGTGCAGACTGGAAACTCTAGTCGAAAAACTTGTCCAATGCTTACCGAAAGTGAGAAATATTGCAACGGTAAAGAGCAGTTTGAATTGGAATCACGAAAATATGTTGATAATGATTGATTATGCTACAGTAAGAAGAAAAAAATCGAACTCCGTGACACTCCACAGACCCGATGAACTTAAACAATCCGACTGTAACCTCATTTGTCGACCTCCATAGCCTGGGCAGCTTTAGCTTTTGCCAAAGGAGTCAGCTTTGTTTTCAGCTTTTTCTTCCCTACTTCAAATCCACCGCCACCCTTCTTCTTCTTACTGCTGCTACCATCAACCTAATTATAAAGAGGAGACTCTTTGAGTCATCAACAAGCTCACCACGATAAAATAAAACAAAAAAGAACCCAATTATCATACTATACAAATTGAGAAAAAAAAATCACAAATCACAACCTATTTACATTCACATAAGCAGAACCAAAGGGAAGTTACACCATGCCATTACAATCACAATCAACTTGAAACAATATAGCAAGCAAAACCACACCTCAAGCACAAATTCTTATGTGAGCGAACATGACTGTTAAGCAAGTCGACCCATCATACAGTTCCAACAAAAAATGCACATTGATACCAAAAAAATGTAATGCTTTTATTCGTGTTATCATATAAAGGATGTCTACTGTATGAATGAATATATATCTGTTAAAAATGTACAGCAGCCTTAAAAAATAACGAGATGGAGAGAAACTTACTTTCATCTTGTTTTTCTTTGCTTGAAGTTTATTTTCCCTCTTTTCCTTCTCTTCTTTTTCTTCTGTATTACCCACAATTTGAAAGAAATAGTTATAAGATGTATAAAAACCAGACAAAAAACTACACAAATTGATGCGGGTTAACCTGCGAAAATGCATAATTTGAAAAATTAACAGTTGAGATATCAAATTGCAGTACTTCTGAGATCGAAATCGTGAAGCCTTTTCCTTCTAGCTAAATCGTTCTTCTTTGACATGTTTGCGGAGCTTTTAACT